ACAAATCTATGGGAGAAGTAAAGAACTTATTCCAGCCATTACAGGAGTATGTAACTTATTTCAGCGCATAAAAGATGAGCAAAGAAGTAAAATATATATTTTTATATTTATATTCTTACAAATGAGGAAGCCATCCATCGTATAATCCAGCCCTCATGAACTCATCTGCCTCAACGATCCTTCTAGCAGCTGCTAAAGAAAGTGAAGCTGCCAACTCTGCTGTTGTCTCTGTCAGCACTCCCTACGAAATGAGCAACAAAATGAATTTCAGAACTTAAAATCAGTATTTCTCTCAATCTTTTGTTGGAATCATGTTAGAGAATGTAATAAAAGCTATTTATGCCTTTATGGACACCTACGGTTAAGTTTTCATGTCGAGGTTCCCCCCCCCCCCGGCCATTAGTTTGAAATGGTGAATGATTACCGCCCAATTGATTTTTTTTTTTTTTTGGCCAGTAATTGCGCAATAACTTATCTATCGTTTTATATAGAGAAGAAATATCTCGTATCTGCCATTCAACAAACCTACATAAATGCTAATTTTTGCAACAAGACAAATTGATTGCATTTATTAAGGTTTGACATAATGCAGTGAGGGGAAAGATGACTTACAGGAGTATTTCCAACAGCAACACCGTACTTGTTTGCAGCTTTGACATCAACATTGTTATAACCAACTGCCATGTTACTGAAAGCTTTGCCTCCCGCTCTGCTCAATGCGGAAAACAACTCTTCTCCCCAGTCTTCTGTCAGCTGTAGCACGAACTCATTTTAAAACAAAACAAGGGAACACAGAAAACAAAATCAAAGAGCCTAGAACACCAGAAAGATTGAAATTCTCGAACTTTTCTCATTTCTGGTATGACCCCTTGTATTGTTATTACCTGGCCAATAACCCCATCACACTTATCACCAATTAAGGCAATGATATCTTCGACAGACAGAATAGTTTTCTTCTGGGTACATATCTGAGCACGAACGGAGAAACTTGGAGTCATTTGCACAAAGGAAAAACACTAAAAGCATCTCAAGAAAGAGAAGCAAAATAGCAGAAAAGGATCAAAGGAAGACAATTACTTCAACACGACAATCTTGCTGGATCAGGAGGTTGATCCAACGAGTTCCGGGCATGGATTTGGTGCTAACGACTCTGTATTTGCCATTTGGGTTCCAAACTTCGATGGACACCGGCTTGGCCATGAAGAGGAGCAGCAAAAGAATTCAGAGGTGGAGAGTGAGCGAGACAACAGCGAAATGAAATTTCAGTTAATGAGTTTGGTGATCTCGTGTGAAGGGCAGGAACAAAACGTTTTATGCTAGGCCAATAAGATGGGTCCATGTGGAGGATTAATGAATTATTGAGATTAGTCTTGTTGAGTATAGGCTGGTGTAGCAGCGTGGTTGCCTATGGGATTTTAGCCTTAACAGATAAAGGAAGTTGACGAGAGGCAGATATGGATGGAAGCAATGCACCAACTGTTTCAGCCTCTCGTTGGTACAAACACAATGGATAACGTATTAACGTATGTGGGTGGGGTTAAGGTGCACCCAACACCTCTAAGTATTTTGCCAGGTGCACCCAATGGCCTAAAATAATTTATGGTGCAATTTTACTCTTAAAGTAATTAAAATGGTGCACCAGTATCCCATGCTAACAAATCTGTTACTTTGACCGTTAAATTGATGAGTTAGCACAAGTTTGACCAAAATAATCTGACCTGACATGTCTAATAAGTAGGTGATGTGGAATTTTTTTCGAGGTTAAGGTGCATCCATCACCCCCAAGTATTTTCCCAAGTGCACCCAGTGGCCTAAAGTAATTTATGGTGCAATTTTGCTCTCAAAGTAATTAAAATGGTGCACCAGTATTCTATGCTAACAGATCTGTTACTTTGATTGTGAAATTGATGAGTCAGCACAAGTTTGACCAAAATAATCTGACCTGGCATGTCCTATTTATAAGGCACTTCCAGCATGTTTCACACAGATCAAGGAAAACCTTAAATTTCATTAACTTTCATTTAAATTTTAATAACTTTCCAACATTATCCCTATTTAATATACATTATATCTCATATAAACAAAGTCAATACAATAATAAATGAGGGGTAAATTTGTATATCCATACAAAAAATTTCTTTCAGTGCCTTATAAATAGGACCACAAAATATTTTCTCTCTCTACCCTATAAATAGGACCAGAGGAGTATCTCTGAAAAAATTTCTTACTCTGAAAAAAATTCCAAGAGCCAAAGAGAGCATTTACTAAACAGAGAAAACAAAGCAGTGGCAGACGAAAAAAATTCCACATCACCTGCTTATTAGACATGCCAGGTCAGATTATTTTGGTTAAACTTGTGCTAACTCATCAATTTCACAGTAACAGATCTGTTAGCATAGGGTACCGGTGCACCATTTTAATTACTTTGAGGGCAAAATTGCATCATAAATTACTTTAGGCCACTGGGTGCACCTAAAAAAATACTTGGGGGTGCTGGATGCACCTTAACCCCGAAAAAACTCCACATCACCTGCTTATTAGACATGCCAGGTCAGATTATTTTGGTTAAACTTGTGCTGACTCATCAATTTAACGGTCAAAGTAACAGATCTGTTAGTATGGGATACCGGTGTACCATTTTAATTACTTTGATAGCAAAATTGCACCATAAATTACTTTAGACCATTGGATGCACTGACAAAATACTTGGGGGTGCTGAATGCACCTTAACCCTATGTGGGTGTTTATATTTTAAGGTTCGGAGTCATGGATCATCCGCTGTTTTTGGTGTACTTAAGTTGGGCCACAAGGGGAAAAAGTGAAGTTGAGTTGTCGGGCTTCCAAGTTAGCCCAATTCATCAAGTCAAGTTGAGTTGTTGGGCTCCCATGTTAAGTTACCAAATATAAGTTAGCCCAACTAATCAAGGTGTTGGGCTGTCAATATCAACATGAAAGAAAATCATCAATGAGAATTGGGTTTAGTAAAAATTACTTGTCGCTCATATGACTAATCAAAATTTAAATCCATATTCAAAGAAGCGTTCATAGTTAGTGCATAACAGTGTCTAGATAGGATTTTCTTTAATAAAAAGATGCATGTGCATAAGAGGAAAAAAACATGAAAAAAAAATCACAATTAAAATAACGAGCTTATATTTCTTTTAGAAAAAGGTGAATGAATTAAAACATCTTTTTCTTATTTATGTTATAACTATTTTGAAAAATCACTTGAAACTTTTTTAGAGAAAAAAAAGAGAATTGCTCCAACTATCCTTCCAACCATGAAGTTATTTGGTCGTAAAATTTGGATCTTTATGATTGTGTTTTCTTTTAGTTATATTTTTCTTGAGAAAACCATATTGGAGGTACTTATACTTTCTCTCAATTTTCAATTTGGTACCTATGTGTTTTTTGTTCTTAACTAAATCTTTAATTTTGCTATAGTAACATCATTAATCCTTATGTAGACACTAAAAATATCAATAGAACAAAATTATAAGAGCTAATGTTGCTAAAAAGATAAAATTAAATGTTTAATTAAAGGAAAAAACACATAGGTATCAAATTAAAAATTGAGAGAAAGTATAGGTACCTCCAATATGGTTTTCCCTATTTTTCTTTTCTAAATTATGGACTATTCATAATCTTTGACGTTTTTAATCATTAACTCTACGAATTTGGAATCCAACAAGACAAGATAAAAAGCAGGAGTGGGGAAATGGGATGTCACTATCGAGAGGGAAAAGATCAAAGAGCGTGTGGCAGACACACGAAAGTGCAAGCCAAGTGCATGGGGGCTGGTGCGGTGGGCACGTCCTGTTTGGCTGCAATCTCGATTTGATCCAAACATAAAATATGAGGTGGCCCTATCAGCACACGCCACCTCTCCAAATCAGCACGCTCCATCTTCTTTTCTTCCCACCATTCATTCTAATCTACTTTTCTTTTAAAAAAACTAAAAAAGAAGCTGCCTTATCTCCAGATCATTGCCCTCTTTATGTCGATGACAACTAGTGATGTTTTAGTTTTAATTTTAATTTTAAGCATAAAGTTTGCTGTGATGGAGCCTCGCACTCGTTCCTGTAACATGCAGCTTGCTCGGTTTATTTGATTTTCAAGCCAATTTTCCCTTTTTGAAAAAATAACTTACTCATCTTTATAAACCAAACATATCTCATTTTTCATTATTCTGAGGTCAAAGAATGTAAACGGATTCTCAGGCAACGAATCATACACATGGCCTACAATCTCAACCACTCATGGGTATGAAAATGTGTTAATATTTGAAAGAGAGGTTGCCCTTGGACTAATCTCCCATCCTATTATTGCAGCACGCACGTCTCTTTAACCCCATAAAGAGCAGGAAGCCAGAAAGCTCCAAACTTGGAATTGGCCTGTGTCATTAAATTAACAAGCAACTTGTATTCACTCTTCCATCGAAAAACAAAAACAAAAGCCCCTGAGATTCACTCCCATGTACGATAATGGCCACTGATTCTAATTACACTTTGGTTGGCAGCCTCATACTCATAGCTCTTACCAAAAGCCAAAGGGCCAGTCAAATCACTCCAGCCCGACCCTTTGGTCCTGGTCGGCATCAAATCTCACATTCTTTTCTCGCATACACTCAATTTTGTAAATATTGGCCATTTGTTGACCACCAAAAAACTCAGCCTTCTTCGGAAAAATTTGCATAATCACAATAAAGCAGGAGCATTGGTAGAAAATAGAAATGACTTTTCACAATCGTACAATAATAATGGTGAGGAACTTGTTTACAAAAAAAAAAACGTTTACATTCGAATTTGAAGTTTTCCTTTGCCATTAACAAATTTGAAGTTAATTAAGAAATTTGTGGTATGTGGGTATATTGGTAGTATTTGCTCTCCTTTTTTTCGTCCCCCTTCCCTTTTTCGCATCCGGTATTTTTGAGATTATACTGGTTGGTTACGACGGTTAATTAGAATTCGCCTTCTGGTTGGTGGTCAGACGGATCTCTCCCCGATTCAAACCTTTAGTTTACGTTATTGTGTTTTAGGTCGACGGAGGGTTTTCTGTTTTCTCGCACGGCAAAATGTTTCGGATTTTTAGTTGGTGTTTGGCCAAGAAATAAGTTAAAATACTTTAACTTTCGATGACTTTCTGGACCGGAGCTTTATCCAAGAGTTCCTCTTCCTCCTCTCCTCTTCATCTCAATCTTCCACTTCTTGCCAACTTTTGAAGCCATGGAGAGGCTTATATCCTCTTCTTCTTCTGCTTCTCCCAAAATTAATCTGAGCCCTCGTATTTCTTTTCTTAGTCGAAAGATTCGATTCGATTCCACTAGATTCATTGTTCCCACATCAGCGCGTTCCATTGTTAGGCGGGCCAGCTCGATCTCTTTCAAACATGAAAACCCATGTTCATTTTCGTCTACTACTCCCTCTTTTGCTTCATCACTACCACCGCTTAATTTGCAGTCCCATTCTCCTGGTGGAGGCGGCTCTTCAGAAAAGTCGGCTCGCGAATTCGGCTTTCTCAATCAGATCACAGATGGGGCTTCAGGACAACGGAAGGTTAGTAATTCGTCTTTTCGTCATTTGGAAAGAATGAATTCTCGTTTTGGGTGGATCTGTAAAGATTTCTTAAATCTGGCTTGCATTTGCTTTTAGTCCCTTGCGTCGGATGTTTGTGTCTCGGTGGCATACTTCCGCCAAGCCGGTTCTTTCGTCATAGAAAGGTTTACTAATTTTTTTTTCTTTTCTGGTTGCTCTTTCCTTGTCAAATGATGTTTAATGTCGGAAACAATCAGAAGGAAACTTGGTGCGTTCAACAAATGTTTGCGTTGGAACGCTTTTTTTTCGAATTTAGTAATTCATCTCCACTCGGCAATCTGCAGCATTTAGCTCCGTTATTGTTGTTGTTGGAAGACGCAGAACATCTTGTTGTCTTTGATCTGTGCAGAATCCTTTAATTATTTTGAAGTCTAGGATATTATATGAACACATTATAAACCATTATAATTTAGCAAATAGTTGAGTGCGTTTTTAAGATGTGTTGCGTACTAGAAATAGGCTTTGATGGAAAAGCATAAAATTTATCATTACCTGACTGATATCTTATTTACGACTCCAATTTTGGACAATGTTATGTGATCGGCAAAGTTTTGCATGAAAGAAAGCTGCTAAACTTAATTATCTTTGCATATTGATGTTACTAAATCAGGTTTTATTACTGAAATGGCCATTGAACCATGCTTAACTGGAATAGACTGGGATACATGAAACCTTGACTGAGAGCTTACTCTGTTGGTATCTTGTTTTGACACTGGTGTATCCCTTGTGTTGATATTCTTGAATCATGGTAACATTTGGGCTCCGGGTGATTATATATTAGAGTTAAGAATACATATAATTACATTTTCCCAGATATTTGAAAATCCTTTGACTTTTTTTCTCAGGTAATAACAGCTCGAACAGTTGCAATAGTCGCTGCTCTTGTTATGATCTTAATCCAACCAGCCTTTGCACCAGCAGCTTATGCAACTTTTCAAACTGCCACCAAGGCAGGTGGTCCTGCTGCAGCTGCAATTGGTGGAAAACTAATTCGCACTGAGCTATTGAGTAGCGCCTGGACTGGTTTCTTTGCTGGTTGCTTACACACACTATCAGGGCCTGACCACCTTGCTGCTTTGGCTCCTTTGTCAATTGGTCGTACCCGACTGGAGAGTGCTGCTGTTGGAGCCCTTTGGGGTTGTGGCCATGATGCTGGTCAGCTTATATTTGGTTTACTCTTTCTACTCCTGAAGGATCAGCTTCACATTGAGGTTATTCGAACTTGGGGTACTCGAGTGGTTGGCCTTACTCTGCTTGTGATTGGTGCTATGGGAATTAGGGAAGCTTCAGAAGTGCCTACGCCTTGTGTTGCCTTAGAAAACGGGGAATGTGACGTCAGTGTCTATGAATCGCTTGATAATCCAACTGTTGGAAAGAAAAAGGTTGGCTTTGCTACTTTTGCTACAGGCATAGTTCATGGCCTGCAACCAGATGCATTGATGATAGTATTGCCTGCCCTAGCTTTGCCTTCTCGCTTGGCTGGTGCTGCATTTCTCATCATGTTCTTGGTCGGGACAGTTGTTGCAATGGGAAGCTACACAGTATTTATAGGTTCATGTAGCCAGGCACTAAAGGATAGAGTACCTAGAATAACTGAGAAACTCACTTGGGCTTCTTCCCTGGTTGCAATAACCCTTGGACTGGCCATCATTATAAGCCAGTTTTTTGGGTTTAGCCTATATTAGTTCATTTTCAGCTGCCAAGGAACTTCATTTTCAGAATCATCATTTTGGTGAGACGAGAGACCGGGACCTCAGAAGAGAGACTTGATTGTCCACGCAACTTCATCCCACATTTTACTACTTTCGAATGTGTATAATATTCTGCAGCTCAGGATTCCTTCTTTTTTTTTGGCTAACTTTTTGGGTAGATTTCAAATTGGTCCATATGTATCATGCCATGGAATTCGCATATGATACTATGTATCTCTATTTTAGTCATACAATACGTGGGTTATGTGTTATGCTTATTTGCGCGGTATATAGATGAGTCAATTGAAGTATTGAACTACGACAGAACCTAAAATCATCTCGGGTCTCCCGCAAGTGGGGCTGACGCAGCATAGATTATGCTTGAAGCCCACAAAACCAGTGGTTTTCATAGACTGGCCCCCAAACATGGGAAACACTTATTCCTTGCGGGTATTGATTCTATTCAATGACATGGTACCTGATGATTCAAACAAAGATGTCGCGGCTTATAGATTCTCGGCAACATCAAGATATTACATAATTATTTATACGTACACGTAATACTGGATTATGTGGAATTTGTACTGCCCACGCGAGTGGCATTGTCGTCAATTAATGAAATGGCTTCTCATAAATTTTACGTTATATATTGATAATATTGTATCTTGACAATGATGAATATTGATTGGTATGGACAGTACTCTCTTTACTCCTGTTTATAAATTACATTTAATTAATCTTGAAATTAACATCGTTCTTCCAAGAAAATACGTTGTATTCAATGCAATAAATTCTACCCTTTTTTAACTAAATCTATCTCAATTCTTTTCTTCACAATAATTATTCAACAATAAGCATACTAAGGACACTTTCGAAATTGGAAAATAATAAACAGGAATATAAAACTTTTACAATGCAACATAACAGGAAGGAAAATTTTATTTTTTACTAGAATTAGATTATAAGCTCTTCAGTCGGGATTAAAAAAAGATTATAAGCTCATACTTTACACAAAGTTGAGCCATATACATATCATTCTCAGTTTTGTAACTAACGTGACCTCTGCGCACGCATATTTGAGAAGGCAGGGCAGGGACTTTGGCTCCCCGCTTGATTAGAAAACGTTGGTGGAGAGTGTAGGAAAAATTTTAATTCATTGTGCTATTTGCGTCTGATCCTTCCCCTTCAAAATGGAGAGACTCGGAGGAATAATCAAAATTCTCACTTCTCTTCCCCTTCAATCTTATCATACTAGAAACGTTAAAATCCATCGTTTTTCCTACCTTTCTCTCCATGAAATCTCTCAAACACCCCCCCCCCCAAAAAAAAAAAAATTCGCTCCTTTGTATTAAAAACCCTCTCCTCCAATTCCCCCGTTTTTTGGCCACATTCTCCATTCTCCTTTTCAACCAAACACTCTTATAGGTTCTACATTGTTGTCTCAATCCTTCCTCAGGGGGTGACGGTTCTTTTATATAGGTATTGAGTTAAAAAAAAAAAAAAAAGGCTAGAAAATAATAATTATGTACACATTAATGCGACAAGTATATCAGTTAACAATATCGAAATTTGTATGCCAGCCATTGAAATAATTCACAGTTGGCCGGATTTCTACCGGATTTACTCTAATCTAGCACTCCAAAGGTTCAGAAATTACAGCTAAATAGACATGCATATTCGAAGACTAATTTGTGAGTTCTCTTAATCAAATTAGCCGTGACATGAAGTGCACAGCCATCACAACTTTGCCCGAACTCAGCCTAGTTCTCCGAAGAATTTACCAGCACATGTAAAGCAGAGTACACCAATTTAACCTTGTTTTTTCTTTCATTACAAATGGTTGAAACTAAACCAATTCCAGTTACTTTAAAATCCCTTCGCCTGAAGGCGCAGTGGACGGGGCCAGGGCATGGCATAAAACAAACATCTTCATAGAAAAAGCCGGACATCAAATCATTCCTGCATCAGGGCCCGGATGTATAAATTCAAACTATTGCAGCACCCAGGAAAATTGAAATGACATAAAAGAAGTGGGGCCAAACCTCATTCTAGTGATTCATGGTCATGCAAAAAGCATTAGCGTTTTTGCTTTTTCTCAATGTCGTGAAGCACACACACATCTGCCGCTGTCTTCATCTGGAACCACCGCAAAGGTCTTAGTGTAGATTAAATTAGAGGGCTTGAACATATAAGTACAAACAAAGTCACAAAAGCAGCTGCTAGCATGGTCACGGCTCAATACAAAAAGCAGTAAATAAAATAACCAAATCCGGCTAATTTACTTAAATCAAGAATGTGAAGAAGAAAGTTCTCTGAATCAATGGTTAGTCATATTAGTACGTTGTTGCACCATAATAAAGACCATGCCAAGGAGTAAGCTGAAGCACCAAGTAACATGCTAATTGAGTATGTCCACAGATTGAGTCGCGGAAGTAAATTCAAAGCTTTTATGCAAATGGACGTCAGTCATTCACCTCCTCCCGGTATTCAATGTTATGTTTCAATGTAAATATAAGTATCATGTTGATGGTTAAACGAGTTGAGTTTAGCACTAGATCAGTTGTGCTGTGAAAAAAAGTAGCGCTTTTTATGTACAAACCTGAATGATATTTACAACTTGCTTGATCGCCCATCCAAATAAACTAGTACCAACCAGGAAAGAAACTATTGATATCTTTTGCAGACTACTCGCTAACACCTGAAAAGGATTGACAATTGAGAAACTAACAAAATGATCTTGGGGAACCTTCTAGATATCACAGACATCTGAAACAACTGAAACACACACATAGAATATAGAACTTACATCCACCAATTTGTCTGTTTGATTCTCTGACAGAAGAAATAGGATTAAGTAAAGGACCTGTAAAATGAGAAATTTTTAATTTAAACATGAAAGACTTTTATCAAAGTGATCAAGCAGACAGGAAGACAATTACCTCACAGGAGACACAACAGTAAGCCATAAACATCCTATTCCCATAATATGCCCTAAAAAGCCAGCTAGTGCTGTCCTTTACATCTTTATGACTATCCTTGCCCAGCAAGAAAGTGCTGCATTTGAAGCATGAAGATCCAGCAAAAAGAACTTAATAAAGACTAAAACAAATGGTCACAGATTTATAACGTATATGAAAGGAAGGAAAAACTTGGCATTGACTCGTTTACATGCATTACCTGTACATTTGCAGCCAGTGGCTTGCAATATCCAAGGCAAGCAGTGACAAGAAGATCAGACCAGGCCTTCAAAAAGATTCAACCCAAATGTCAGAGATACATGGTTAAAATTCCAGTGTTTGATGAAATGCAAGAGGGCTCGAAAAATCTTACTTGTATACTTGGGAAAGAATTACAAGTAGACAAGCTGTACTGATTCTGGAATGGAGGTACAAATAATCCGAATGAGCAAATGGGAATACAAAATATTAAAATTATAGCATTATCATTTTTTATTAATACTTTTCCTTGACGTTTATGTCAAAAAAGTGCACGTGTAAGGCTGCCTACGAAGGATGTACAACTCAAAATGAGAGCCAATTCCATGTCCAACAGTCATTAGACGCCACATGACACTTGAATTACATACGGATACTCCATAGTTAATGCGCAGTGTCCTATTGCGTTAGCACTGGTGCCTATGCACACAGAATGATGCGTGTGCGCGTACCAAATGGGGAGAGTGAATGAATTACCTGTCTGTTATCATGTCCAGAACAGCTCCAAAGGTTGACACTGAAAAAAAAAAAAAAAAAAACACTATAAATGTGCTGGAGTAATATATCTGTCCATTATTAAGCAATAAATCATAGTCAGATAAAAGTTATTTCAAGACATAAATTTACTCCTTATTAAAAGTCTGATCAGTGTAACAATGAAACAATGTTAAACATATATAATCATGAAACAATGGTTGTATAATGATTAGAGTGGTGCGGAAACATGAAAAAATGTTAGCACTTGGCAGCAACGAATGCATATACATCTGCCTGTGTGAGAAGGCATGCATGCTACAAGTTACAACAATCTAAAGTTAACTGGTGTCCTAAACCAAAGCATCAAAAGGGGCTAAGCATCTTGAGGTCCACGGTGCATAAGGTGTTCTAACCCAAGCATCAAAACTGAAAAAATGGAGGGCATGCTAAAACCATAGATATGAAGAAGTAACTACTATGAACTGATCAAGAATTCAAGATGAACTTTAATAACAAGTCATATCAATTCAAGTTCATAACAAAAAAAGGTGCTGCAGTTCAGCATTTCATAACAGTTAAGAGATAAAATGCCCTAAAATTCATAAAATAAACAGAAAACAGCTCTAGAGTCCACCATCGGAATCATTAGATAAGATCAGCCCCATAGTTGTTTGTCATCAACTCATCATTTCCTATCCTCCTCTTTTATAGCAATAAGAGATAAAATGCCCTAATATTCATAAAATAAATAACAACAACAACAAAAAATTTACTTGGTCAGCAAAGTAAAGGGAATTGCCACACACAAAAAGAAAACATAGGTGAGATCCTGACGGAAATGACCATGCCTGAGAGATCAGATAGACAAGAACTCTTTGTCACCTTGCCTAAGTGCCTTTGCGAAAAGTAATAATTAATCAGTTGGCAATAACATTCAAAATAAACCAACAAAGAAAAAACCAAAAACAACGATGATCACATGCACACTGTATTTGGCCTTCATAAGAAGAATGCAATGGAAAAGTGCAGTTATGGGAGAGAGATAAGTCCAGGTTCCTTCAGTGTGAAGTAGAACTAATTATGCATTGATAGTGTTTCACAGAAGAGGTTGAAACATAAATTGATACTGGAATAACATGAATAAGGAAATTTATACCCTGGTTAAATTTGCGAGCACACCAACCATCCACAGCATCACAGACAAAGCTGAAAAGACAAGTTCAACCATATTATGCCCCTAGCTCCGTAAAGTTAAAGAAACATAGAGAAGAATGCTTGAAAACACTTATGGAACTGCTTCCCACCTGAAAAAATAGAGAATACAGAAAAGCATTCTGTTTCTGAAGCATAGGTAGAAGGCAGCACAGTTTACAAGAACCCGGATGTATCCTACAATACAAAAAAGTCAGTTTTAAAAGAGTGAACTCGTGAAGAATCACCAAAGAAGGAATCAACTTAATTGAATTTTTCAGAATATGCATGACTTTCTTGCAACAGAAATACCAGCTGCAAACAAGTGGCATAATCTAATAAAAGTAGGATAGTGTTCTGATCATTATTTAACAGCACAGTGCAGAGTTGGAATCCAATTTTCCAAAGACATAAGATGGAAATAAATCGTTTAGTTGTAAGAACCTAGTTCTGCCACACGCTTCTGATATATGTAATGGCTGAACTACATAGTTCCCAAAATAACTAAGCAAGCAGCAAAGAAACACAATATGCACCAGTAAGGATAAATACCTACCAATGATATTAGGAATGTAAAGGTACACTGATAATTTGCTAGGTCTTGGTCCAGGCCTTTTCGCCATTGAATGATTTACACTAAAACCTGCCTTAAATGTACAATCTCGACGATCAAAATTACCCCCTGCACACATTCGCTTCAGGTAAGAATCAAATGTACAAAGACATATGCATGCAAACCTGAATATAGCTAAGCCTCATATTGACAATCACCCACCCTGTAACACCAACCTAAATACCAAGTACATAAGTTTAAAAGAGAATTCAACAGCTATTTTTAAAACAAGCAACTCATTAGCTCCCATAAATTATATCATCCATCACTTCTACATAACATGCTGCACCATATCATTACACTCCAATTACACTTTCTAATAGGCATTAACCTAAGCAGCAACAATTACTCGGCTGGAACAATACATAGATGATTTTACTCTTGATTATAAACACTGGCTCAGAATTTTTAAAACGAAAGGTTCCAGATAATGCCTCCTTCTTAATCATTAAATTGAATCTTTATACATCCAAAATACATTTCTCATTTCACTTGCGTTGTCATGCCAATCTTTCTCTTCTCTTCCCACGCTAGGGTTTCCGGTTTTCCTTATCTTCTGAGAGCTCCCTATTACTTCCTGCGTCCCCAGCCTCTTGCTCTACTCAATCAGATTAGCATGACCGCAAGCAAAAGAACTACTCATAGTTCAATGGACACGTAGAGAGGAAATGAAAAGCGCGCCAATCAAATGAGGATGTCAAGGCATCATTGAGCTGCCAGCGTTTAGATTTTAGAAACTCAGACGCTTGACGGACATGTAAGGGGTGCTAAGCGTGGCCAAGGATGACAACCACCTGTCTGGGAAATGCCGTCATGCGTAATGCCAAAAGAGATGTGCGGAGAGGAAAACTGTAAGCCGTTATTGTCGGCACAGGTCAAATCAGAAATCACACCCGACTCAGGAAGCTCATAAAAAGCTAGAAATGATTCGCTCTCACTGACTCAATTTACGAAACAGCTAACGGAAACCAAACAGGACTAAAAGGGGTGAAATAACGATCCCCTTGAGATGAAGGAAAAACACATACAAACTAACTAACAAATAGAATAAAATTACCCAGTTCAGTCACAGGGAAGTCGGAGATACCGTTTGGGCGGACGACAGGGGCTGCGGTGAGATGGCGCGGAAGAATAGAGTGAGTTCGGATCAAGCAGATTCCGGCGAGGGGCGGAGATATTGCTGATTTGGGGCAGCCGCGTCGCGATACAGAGGAGCGAATAACAAGCGGGGAGCAGCGGGAGAGACACGCTGTCAGCGCATAAATTCTTTTCACGGCTTTGTTATAATATTTCAGAGCAAATCATGCGCAAAACAGGTGTAAGAATCAATAATTACAGCATTTACTTATTTACTAAGAACGAAATAAAAATTAAAAATTATCATTCAACATTTTTGACCTTCAAAATTATCCTTCAATTAAACCTACATGGTAAATGAGAAAATGAGAAGCCATGCATAAAAAGATTTAAAATGATGGCACCCCCATGGGGTCTGAACGTTGAGAACTCACCACTTCCTGGGAACATGGGCATCACCCGGGCGATGATGGGTTGTTAAGGGCATTAAGTATAAACAAACGAAAGCAGTGAACAGGGAGAGCAAGTCAAGAATAATTCCTTGCATTGTATCGAAGGGTATGAATAAATTAAAAAAGAAAGGATCATACCAAAAATATAATTAAAAAAACGGGCGGGCTGATGAGCCCAAAGGACAAGAATTGGGCCGAGATGCTTAAAGCCCATGGAATGGGGACCGCCGGACCGAGGCAGCTCACCAGATCGTGGGGAAAGGGAAATGATCAATAAGCGGCACTGGGTGTGAGCCGTGAGCGCCATGTCTGAACTCCGAAGTCTCAGCTAACTCTGACTCAGGCCCCCCCCCCAAAAAAAAAAAGCTCTCAACTCTGTCACATATTACTAATTTTAAACTTTCAAAATAAATTTGTACCCAAAAAACTCTTAAGTACCCGATGCATTTAGGACAAATTTATACCTTGACATAAAATTAAAAACGACAATATACATATGCCCTGAGAGGGAGTTGGATTCTCTCCACTACTTTCCCATCCTCTTCCCCTCTACTATCTTTCTTTTCTCTTCACAACTATTGGATCAAAATTCCAATGGTCCAGATTTAACATCTTATAAAAATAATGTTATTAAAAAAAAAATTAAACTGTTAAAATCTGGTCTGAACAGTTTACAATTGTACTAAAAAATTAAAAAAATTTGCTTTATAATAACAGTCTGTAGTTATGAACTGTTCAGATTAGATTTTAATAGTTTAAATTTATTTATCTATTTTTTATCATAATATTTATTTTTATAAAATGTTATAACATATTAAACTTTCAAAATAAATGTGTACCCAAAAAACTCTTAAGTACCCGATGCATTTAGGACAAATTTATACCTTAACATAAAATTAAAAACGACAATATACATATGCCCTGAGAGAGTTTTTCAGCTTCTCTTTCCTTTCTCTTTCATTCACTTCTCATTTCAATTAAAAAAATTGAAATTTGAACAGTGTTAAGATAACCATTATTAAGAAATTTTAAGATGACCAGTACTATTATTAACAAAAATATAAGCAACTATAAAAAAAAACTAAATATAACTGCATCTCTCAGATTTTACTTAGTAGTTAGTACTGACATTCTTAGGAGATTTAATATCCATCAGTTGAGCTTCATCATGTGAAAGCTCAACTTGTAACATTAAATCACCGAACATCTATTAGTAGTCTTCATATCCTTACTCTAAAGCCTAATTAAAAAGTTTATATCAGTCCTATATGTAAAACCTATTTCGTATGTTTATTTTTTCAAATAGGAGGGGGTGGGAAGGAATTAAAAGTATTTTAGAAAAAAAAACATATCATATCGATTAATTTATCTGATATCTTTAAACTACTTAAATTAGTTAATTAGGTTTTAAATTAAAAACTATATTACATAGAATTCAAGAAATCTGTGTATTTTTTTTTTTATTTAAGATCCATAAGTAATTTTTGTTATTTAATTTGCCAACTATTACATGGTTACGTTAATAGTTAAATAACTAGAGCATTTTCACCAAACACGGTGGGAATGAACAGAAAGAATTCTTTTATGTTTTTTTGTGTTTTTGTTTTTTGGTTTTTTTTGGGGGGGGGGGTGTTGGGTATCGCAACAGGTTGGAAGAGTTATCCTCAATCAAATTCAGAAAATATCCATCCCTCACGCGACAGAGTATTTTAGAGGAGAACAATTTAGAAAAATGGAAATTGGCTACACATGTTAAAACTTAAAAGAGTTACCTTGAAATTTTAGTCAACGTTATTTTTCCCTGTTTTTTTGGTGACATTCAATGATGCCAGTGAATTGTATTCTAGTGAGTGAGAAGGATTTCTCATTTCAGCAACCGAAAGAAATATTGAAAAGAAATCTTAAATGCAATCATGAATTATTTAATAAATTTAATGACCAAAAAAAGCAATAAATAAAAATAAATTAATAATCTTTTTTTTTCCAAAAAAAATCTCAACATTGCTTTTATTTCATTCAACTGAATAATGAGAAAAGTAAAAGTAAAAGAAATATCGAGTCCCCTCATTAATTAAGTAATCACAATTTTGTTTGCTTTCAAACTGAAGAAATGAGATTTGATGTCCCCGATGCGCTCGCCGAGATCCCCCATGTAACCGGTCAAAAATATAAGTTTCTTTCATAACTCATGAGATTTTTCTACAGAGAAAGAAAAAGGTAAAGTCAGGAATAAAAAGGAAACTAGAGTTAGTAGTAACTCTCTGCATTGGGCCAAGGGTGCATTCATCGAAATGGATTATGTGCATCCCATCCATCTGACTAACATCCCAGCAACTTCTAAGTTATAAGCAATCTCCTATTCTCCTTTATCTTTTTCCTCTTTTCTTTTTCCCTTCCAATTCTGTATTTACTTTTCCCGGAAAACTAGCCTAGAAAATCAAGGTCTCTATACTAGCTTTCTTAGGCGTACTGCAAACAGGGCAAGCCTGAAGCAAAGCCTCGCAAACCCTGCATGAACATAGATGCCTGCAAGGAAGAAACAGAAAGCACGCCTTCCCAGAATTACAGCTTTCACAAATCATCATCTTTCTCGTGCTCTGTTCAACTTCGACCCCATCGTCCTCTTCCCCACCAATAATAATACCCCTTCTTTTCTCCCCTTCGTCGTTGCAGCACGACCCTGCATCATCCGCTGCGACCCCATTGTTGAGACCATGAGAAGCTTTCTCTTTCGCCTGTTCCAATGTGTTGTGCAGTGACAACACCATGGCTTCTTTCTCCTGAGCCAGTTTACGCCACGCTTGATTCTCTTCCTCCAGTCTTCTTAGAAACTCTTCTAACTCCATTCTTTTCTTCGTTGCTTGCGCAATTTCTTCGTCTTTCTGCCTCAACATGTAAACCGCGTCGGATTCGAATTTCTTTAGTAACGACGCCACTTGCTGCTTCCTCTGATGTTGCAGCATAATTCTGAGTTTCTCATTCTGCACCATTCACAAGATTAACATTCAAAATTAATCCCTTCACAATCCGAAACGCTTGGCAGAAAACAAACAAACGCCTTAATAATGGATTTTAACCTGTAGTCTGATGTAGCGATCCATATCCTGGCTCTGTTTCTCGAATTGAAGGGCCATGCTTTGCGAAATAGACGGTGAAGCCGGATTGAGATTGTTAGCTTTCGTATTATTGCTCGAGAAGAGAAGATTTGTGTCGACAAACATGTTCTGATTCCTCTGCCTCTCACTGTACAACTGTCGCAAATCCTGTTGCTGCTGATGTTTCTGTTGTGAATTGAAACAGGACTGAGCTAACCCATTATTCTCAGTTATCAAATCCTGAGACCCACATAACGGGAACCCAATATTGCCCGGACACAGCTGCGCTTGAATCGCCATGCGCGAATCGAAGGCCAATCTCAATCTCAAAACGATCAAAGCGAGAGCTTTTATATGGGAACAGAAAGATCAAAAGGGGTTATGGGTTGGGAGAAACAGAGGCAATAGTGGGTATAAATACATGAGGAAATGGATGAAATGGAGGGATTTGGATTGAGAAGAAGGAAGTAACTGAAAAACTCAAAAACTTGATAGGAAAAGAGGGAGCCTAGGATACTACAGAATAGGACTGAGTTTCCTTTATATGTTATTTGGAAGCATTAAAGAGAGAGATGTGTGGGACGCGGTAAGCAGCGACGTAGCACATGCAGATTTTGTGACCAAACTAAGGGGTCAGAGATTTCAGAGGCGTTTGTTTTGAATTTTAAATAAAGAAAGAAAAAAGAATTGGTTTCTAATTTCATTGAGAAACTCACTCACACACAAACCTGTGAGGCTGTGAATGAGTCAGTACTTCTCATTTAAGAGAGAGAGAGAGAGAGAACAAATAAAAGATTTGTCAGTTCGATTATTATGAAAGGACTCAGAGTCTGGGATTCTTATTTTTGTCGTTTCCCCAATATTTCCAAAACATTTTCTAAAAACCTCCTCCTCTTTCATTCTAAAATTACAGACAGATGCTATCTTTGTCACTGTTCCATTAATGCCTTTTTTCTTTAAAAGGCATCCATTTTAGTTTTCAAGATTAAAATTAAGAATATATTAATTCATGCACTTTATCATCTCTTTTCCAACGTTATTGCTTGTGGGCACTCGATTTCACGGGAAAGTTATACGTCCTCTCTCTGAACAAATAAAGGGGTAATAATATCTCATATGTATACTTAAATTATTCGAATTAAAAAAAATCCTAATACTCCTCTGATCCTTAATATATGACTCAATTGTTGAGTTGATTTTGATCTTAAATATAAAACTTATTTCTCATATTTATCAATTTTTTTCTCAATTACTTCTATGGATACTCTTTCAACCATAATCAAGTAGAAGAGGGGAGGGTTATTAAGAAAAATGATTATAGTGTTTTAGGAAAAATGTGTCACATTTCTTACAGTTAACTAATTTACCTAACTTTCTTAATCTAATCAAATTAGTTAAATGAATGTTATATTAAAGATAGAAGGAGCACGTGCTTTTCTATGTATGAAATAGAACAGCTTTCTAGTTTTGTACTATATGTGAAAGAAAGCATAAATTAAAAGGCTTAATTGTTGTCTAAGAACATGCGTGCCTGATACGTCCGGAATATAATTTCCTGTCTAAAACAGTGTAAACATGATTATCTCAGTAGCACATTCCAGATGACAGCTGTAATAGCAAGCAAGCAAACTATTCTCATGTTCTGTTCTTTTCAGTTTTCCTCGTATTTGTCGTCATGCCCCTTTATTTTTATCAGAAATTGTCCATGACCTATGAGTATTAATTTTCATCTTGAAATGTTCAGATTTTATAATTATTAAAGGCAATAGGGATCACATGTTGAGTGCCAATATTCGGTGGCGTGTGGTTTAATAACTCTCTGGCCTTTTACCCAAGCAAAACCATGAACTCATTTGAAATTACGTATGTAAATATTTATAAGTATATTTTATATAAATTGAGACAAAATTTTTTTTAAATATTTTTTCGATTCAAAATATAAATTAAACTTTGTTAGAGGGTTTTTTTTTATAAGATAACATTTATTTTTGTTAAGTACTTAATGAGTTTTTTTAATTTTACCCTCATATATTATTTTTCCTCTGTGATTCATTTATTGCATGTTATTTTCTTTATTAATAATGGCTTATGTTTGAGAAAAAAATTTATACCTTACATATTTATTGTTTTTAATTAATTTTAACTAATTTATTAATAAATATAAATAGATAAAGTTTAGTTTCTTTCCTTGTATTTTATAAACTACAATTAAAAACTTACTTATAAATCATTTTAAACATGCTTGCTTGTGATGGTGATACCTAGAATTTGAAATGCCATGATAATTCCATCACTATTAAGGAGGGATGAACATTTCTAGTGCTATAAAAATACTTCGGTCAAAAGTATTGAATTTATTGGGCAGTTGTCTGGAAGTGTACAGAGAATAAATTCATAATAAATGAGAAACAATTTCTTAACGATGAAGGCAATAAGGATTTGTAATTTTGTGGTGGCGCTGTCAAGCCTCCGGATTAGGATTTGGCATCTCGATCAGTACCATGATTAATCCAATCGATTATTTGAAATTTCCATTCACGAGTGATGGCTAATGAAGAAAAGATTGTTCATGGAGCTTATAGAGAATAGGGTTATATTGATTGGCTATAAATGTCTTGTCTTTCCTTTTGAATTACTGTGTCTTTATAATCACAATATCTCGATATTAGATATTGATATTATAAAATACTGCGTGATCCGCCTAGTCAGTGTTTAATGTTTTATTTTTCCACTGACATGATCCTAACTCTGGAAGGAAAGAGTGCCAACCAATATGCAGCTTGAGATTTAGGACCACCACCGCGAATTCATTTATACATTTTAATTTATTTATGAGTATAATTTCAATTATTCCTAAAAAACCATGGAGTGGGAGATGGTCAGAATTACACAGCCCCATCAGAATCAACATTAAGGGTCTATTTAGAACAGTTTATAAATAGCTTATAAGCTGCTTTTCAATAGTGATTTAAAAAATACAAAACAAGTATGTGAGAGGAGTTTTACCTCGATTTATATAAAACGTACTCATAGAAAATTTTTACCGTTATGTCAAATGGGACCTAAATGGAAAGTGGATTTCAATTTCTCTGCAGGCAGAGATTACGTGCCTGTTTGGAAACACTTTTTTAGAGCTTATAAGTAGCTTATAAGCTCTATAAGCTCTATAAGCTCAATTGAAAAAAGTAGGGTCTGTTTGGCAACACTTATTTGCAATCGGGCATATGTCTGAAAAGCTACAATAAGCTATAAGCTAAAATTAACAGCTTATGGCTTATAGCCTATGGCTTATGGCTTTTGAAATATGAAGAGAGAAAAAGTTAAGAAATTTATTACTTCTTTTGATTCTTATTATAAGCCTCAAATAACTAATTTGTAGATAATAAAAATCAATTAAAATTAGTTGAAAGTAATGAATAAGTTAGAAATATATTTTTATTTTTAAATATGCTCCTAAAAATATACTTTTATTTTTTTATGTTTCACTTTATATTTAAAATATTTTTTATGACTTCTTCATATTAAATTATTTTAATTTCATTGTATTATGTGAAATTATTTTTTTAATCATGTTTTATTATTTATTAAAACTCATACCCATTTTGGCAATTTTTCAGCCAAAATTACTTTTACTCAACTATAATCCAAACAAGCTTTTTCTAATCTCATTTTTGTAAACTAGCTTGTCTGAACTCCAATCCAAACACAATTCAGCTTATCCAATTTAACTTTTACCAACTTCATTTTTCCATAAGCTACTTTTTCTATAAGCTGCTTTTCTAATCGTTAATCCAAACGGACCCTACTTGTTACAAAGTCCCACGAATAAAGTTCTTTTTTTGTTTTTTTGAATATTATTGGAAAATCAAACCTTATTCGGTCAAACTAATTAAAAGAGACTATTAATAACGCGACTTATAAAAAATGGCTGATCCTAATTTGGGGCGAAGCATGTCAGCCAAAGTGGAGCAGACAAGAGGACAAGAAAAGCTGAGTTGCAATTCCCAAGGTCTTTGAATATAAACTAAAATTAGGCATACGATCAGAAGAGAGAACAGGGAAAGTGAGGCTGGTTTGAGTTTTGGGAGCATAGTGGAAGGAAATTGACGAGTGAGCCCCACCCACGACCAGCTTGTTTCTTGTTATAAAGTTATTCCTCCGAAATTTACTTGGAATTTCATAATATTCAATAATCCAAAAATACAAGAAATAAATCATATGGGTGATGATGTACAAATTGAATGAGTGTAATTTATCATGGATTTGGAGTAGGAAGCCACATGGAAGTTCTGAAAAGTGGGACCACCGTCCTAGCCCCGCTGCTGGTATGTGTGGTACGTGTACCTTCGATGCTAAGAAAGTGTGGAAGTTCAACGTCACAAATGATTCTGCGATGGACTCCTATTTCCATTACAGTCCAACCTTGTAATAATAGAGCTCAAACAATAGAATCAAATTTCTCCGCAGCGTACCTCCACATCCACGTAACACCTCACTTCCCATAGTTCAATACTTTCCATAAAGCTGCCCCCTCTGCCTCTAGATTCCCAGTTCCCACGTTGCTTTCCTACTCTACTCACCACATTGCTCTTATCGCCTGTTGCCAAGTGTAAAACACGCTGAAAATAAAATAAATAGATGAAAGGCATGTTTGCTTATTACTGTAGATAATTGAATGATATAGAAGTTAAGGAGGAGGGGGAATCGTTGGGGAAATAAATAAATACATATGTAGGATAATTAGGACGATGATGTCTGGTCATGCTCGTCCCCTTTCTTGTCCCGTTGAACTAACCTTGCATGGTTTGGTTTGGTTAGCTTTGAAACGTTGCTTTCTTAAAGAAGAGGGGACAAATGAAAAGAGAGATTGATGGAAAGGTAGGAGTCGGTTACTGTGATATCGTGTCAGGGAGAGGATTGAGTTCTCATATTATTCTTTTGCTTTCCATGTACATTCATCAGACCCCGACGCACGCAACACCCGTGATCTCTGAAACTGTCTCAATGTATGGGGCTCATCCTCGCCCATTTAATATCTATCTAAACAAGAATCCATCCTCATCTCATCCCTCTGCTTTTGGTTAATTGCGTTTGCTCCTTCTCGTTAATATTAACCTAAAAGGGTAAAAAGGGACCTCCCCGAACACATTATTTAATTAGAGCTTTTCTGGCCCTTCTCGTGCAAGTTTGACTCTGCACTGTTTTAGCCGTGGTGAGTCAGTAAAGTTGGTACATATTCAGTCAGGACCCAATCTATATCTATCTTTCTCTCTTTTCTTCCCCTCCCTATCATGTAACATCCATTGCTTTTCCATAAAGCAAATCGCCTCAGTGCTTGTAGCTGTGATCTTTTTCTCCCTTTTTCGGTTTTTCCCCCTCCCTGATATGTATAGTTTCACGCCA